ACTCCGCATTTGAACAGTCAATAGCAAATACTTAAAATAATAACAAAACAGTAGCTGATTAAGACGCGCCAGATTGTCATAGCAAAGTCAGAATTACATCCTCTCCTAGGTTCACGAAACGGTCGTCCATAAAATGCATTGCTGTTCTGTTGTAAGTAATCTTAAAGATTCCTAAATGCATCTACTTTCGGAAGGCCAAATAAAGTGCTTTTGCTTTCGCCTAGAAACACACAGCGTCTCCCTGACATGCTGCTTCAACACTAACTGCGGTTACTGAAACCACACCTTCTTTCTTTGCGTGCACATTTGGGTGGCATTATGCAAATATTTCCACATAGTGAGGTAGATATGTGGGGGTGTGTTAGAACGAGCCGTTTTAGGGGGGCGTAGTAGAGTCTTAACTTTGATAAAGTATATCTCTTTGGTTTTGAGACTTTAGTCTTTGCAACTTCAGGGATCTTATCTATGCACAATCAGCTTGTAACACTCCAAAGAGAAAGGAAAACTTGAAATTGCATCATATGGCCCCTTTAAATATACATATATATTTTTAATCATACATTCTAATAATCATACAATTTTATTTTTATGATGTTACAGTTAGATAGTTTATTATCCTTGTACAAAATAGATATTATTTATGATTTTTGTACTAATTGTTTCCATAATTCATGCCTGACCTAATGAAATAAGCAGCTGTTGTGTCACTCACATATCTGATGTAGTCCTCCATCACCTCCTCCACAGACAGCGCCCCCTGCTGGCGGAAGATGGAGGGGTTCCACATGGCGGCCCGAGCCAGCATGACAGACGACGCTCCTGCAGCAGCTCGAAACTTCTCAATGTCCTCGAATGTCTTCACTATGTCTGAAGAGCCTCCGCTAATCACAAACCAACAGAAGAAAAAAAAAAAAGTGTAAAATAATAAAAACACAAAGCTGTCATTAACCAACAATACCAACTGTACTGCATATTTAAATGTCAAATTGACAGTTTCCATTGCACAGATACAAATATGTAAATGCAGGATAAATGTAATGTAAGATGCAGACTGACTTGGCAATGACAGGTATGGACACACTCTCAGCCACAGCCTGGATATAATCACAGTGGACTGGATGCCGCGGCCGCTCTTCTTTCATCCTGACAACACAATATAAATATGTTCTTTAAAACAAGAATCAATCCATAACCACATGTTTAAAGAAAACGTCTTACCTGCCGTGCACCGCTATGGCTGCCACTCCTGTTTTTTCAATTCTCTTCACCAAATTCACCGTGTCCTCAAGCTGAGAGCGCATTAGGTGAAATTATCCATTAGTTACTAGGAACAGTAAGGACTGATTCATATCAGGGTTTATTAAGTATTTTTAATCATTCAAAATATTACACAAAGTAATGAATTACTTGAAACAAATACACAGAAAAATGTCACTTACTGTAGAAAGGATTCTGATTTTACATGTAACAGGTTTTGAAATTCCATTCACAAGAGTGCTTAGAATCTACAAGAGAGAAGTGGTAAAAGGGATAGTTCACCCAAAAATGAAAATGTGATGTTTATCTGCTTACCCCCAGGGCATCCAAGATGTAGGTGACTTTGTTTCTTCAGTAGAACACATATGATGATTTTTAACTCCAACCGTTGCAGTCTATCAGTCGTATAATGCATGGCAATGGTAACAAAATCTATGAGAGTAAAAAAAACATGCACAGACAAATCCAAATTAAACCCTGCGGCTCGTGATGACACACTGATGTCCTAAGACACGAAACGATCGGTTTGTGCCAGAAACCGAACAGTATTTATATAATTTTTTACCTCTAATACACCACTATGTCCAACTGCTTTGAGCGCGCGCACGGCATCCGTGTGCACTGTGTAAACAATGAGTGACGTATACGCGCGAGAGATCACTTCTGGTGCTTGCGTAAACTACGCCAGAGCGTGTACACACCTCGCGCACCGGATGCCGTCCGCGCGCCCAAAGACAGTTGGACATAGTGGTGTATTAGAGGTAAAGAATTATATAATATACTGTTCGGTTTCTCGCACAAACCGATCGTTACATGTCTTAGGACATCAATGTGTCATCACGAGCCGCAGGGTTTAATTTGGATTTGTCTGTGAATGTTTTTTTTACTCTCACAGATTTTGTTACCATTGCCATGCATTATACGACTGATAGACTGCAACGGTTGGACTTAAAATCATCATATGTGTTCTACTGAAGAAACAAAGTCACCTACATCTTGGATGCCCTGGGGGTAAGCAGATAAACATAAAATTCTCATTTTTGGGTGAACTATCCCTTTAAGTAAATAAAGAGTGAAAAAGAAAAGGCTTTATAATACTTATTCTAATCAAACTGATATAGGGGGTAAAAAAAACTAAGAAAACTTACAGCTTCAATTTTTTCAGGGTCAGAGAGAAGAGCTGAACCCATTCCTCCCTATGTGAAATGAATGGAAAATGTATAAAAAACAGCAGCAGAACTATAATAATAATAATAATAATAATAAAAGTAATTTATAATCCTACACTACTAATGCAATCATTTTTCTCTCTTTTTTTTTTTTTTTAACAAGTTACCATTATGACAAGTTCAATTGAAAGCTTAACATGAATTCTAGAATGTCTTTGTAGTAGAATGAAGAGCATTTCTTCTTTATTTTAGATCGATGCTACTCTGGTATTCAGATTCAAAACATACTGTTTATTTCTATTGTATGTTCTAAAATATGTTTATTTTCATGATTTTACGGATTGTCAGCGTCGTCTTTTTTGACACTGAGCCAAATCTGTACCTTTGTAGAGTATTCTTTGGGACAGCCCATATTCACATCAACAGCCGCCACATCATTTTCCCTGTTCAGGATAACACAGACACGTTAAACATAAGTTTAAATGCGAATTAACTTACTATAGAGCTGCTGTTTGAGAAAAACAACAGGTAACACATGATCTACAATGCATACATCCAACTCACACAAGCTTAGCCACAACCAGCGCTCTCTCCGGATCAGCCGTCCCCTGAACAGAATCAGACTGGGTTTTAAACTGAATAATCATAGAACTCAAACTCACTTATTGTTTAGAAAGTAAGCTACTGACATGGCATTCACTCAATCAGAGATGCCCAGATGTATTAAACACTGCACATAACTCAGTCGCATGAATATAAATCTTACCATGCCATAAATGAATGAGTGAATGAATGTTCAGGACGCTCTCATACTGACCATCTGAAAGACCACGCGGCCCTTCTCTTTACTGCAGGTGCGAAACATCACACGCTCATCTGGAGCAACAAAATCCACTGTCTCCAAAACATCTGAAGACACACATGAAGGTTTATTAACATGCAAGTTGGTCCTATTTCGCATCACTTACAGATTATTTCAACAGACTGAAAGTTTAAAGTCATCCAATTTTGCCTGTATGTTATATAACAGCGTGCTCAGATATATAATATAATCGGCAGAAACTGACGTACCATTTACCACTCTCTCACACTGGGCCATTTTGATGTCAATCAGCTCCTGAAATACACAAGGGCCATGAGCCCAAGTTAACATTTAGTATATTTCAAAGCAAGTGCATGGCATTCAGATGGACTGAAATGTGACATGTATGAGTGTAAATGTCCATCCTCACCTCACAGTACACAATATCTGCTCCATAGTCCAGAGCCAGCAGTCTCATGGGCAGAGTGCCCACCCGCACCATAGGGGCCAGAGCAGTCTTATGAGCAAAACACAACCTGCCCATCATCTTCAGCATCCATCCATCCGCGGACCACTGCAGGCGAACAGCTATTCAAGAGGGCGGAAACAAACACTGACAGACAGTATCCACGAGACATCCTCAGGCTCTTTTAAAAGCTGAAATTGTCAATGTTGTCAGCTAAAGTCTGTGAATCAATATTATCATACACAAGCATAACACTGCCCACTTGTTTTCAGAAATGTATTAGCAATAACACTAATACAGGCAACTATGTTCAGTATCCCGAATAAATACAGCTATCGAGAAAAACAGTGGTCACTGGAGTGATATTATAGCAGTTTTTAAACATGTACGTGAGAGCAGAGTTGAACTTACGAGCATCAACCCGAACTTCTGTCTGCTTCACAGCTGCAGGGAACACGCGTGCTTGGCGCCCACTTCCGGGTCTGAAGTCATCGCCGCGCGACGCGAACATCGCTTCCCACCCACCCAGAGAATGGGAATGATCTCACTTGGAAAATGGGAATGATCTCACTTGGAAAATGGGAATGATCTCACTTGGAAAATGGGAATCCACGTATTTCCACGTATTCTATTATTCTTCACGTTAACCGCATATTACAGTGGAATAGTATAGTAGTCAAGTTTGGGTTATGTAAGAATATGAAGTTAAAATAACGCCAAACAGAGAGAAAGTGGTGTGTGCTAAATTAATAAATGACCAAACGAGGAGGTATTACTAAATCAACCACTAATTATTCAAAATGTGCACACTGTCACACTCTTTAAGAACCGTATTTTTCCGGTTATGTTAGTGGTGCTTAGTTGGTTAAAGCGCCTGTCTAGTAAACAAGATCCATCGTTTTTCAGGGAGCTTTGCAGGTGTTTCTTCAAGTGTTCTTCTGGATTTAGTCTGTCTCGGTTTGTTCTGTTTCTTCATGTAATCACAGACAGACTGGATGATGGTGAGATCAGGGCTGTGTTCAGCCCGACAAAACGGTTCAAAACGTGTTTTAAACGGAAACGGTGGTGCGTTAAACGCCCTGTTCTGATGACGCAAGAGTTGCAACTAAGGCAGCTGAGAAGGCCATTCTTTGTGTTCTTTCTGAAGAATTTTCGGAGCCTGATGAAATCGGTATAAATACGTGTTTAATACTGCAATATACGCTCGATGTTACAGTCATTGCCCTTGCCCTCCAGAATAAATCGAAAGTGAAAGTGACATGTGGCCAAGTATGGTAACCCATACTCGGAATTAGTGCTCTGCATTTAACCCATCCAAAGTGCACACACACAGCAGTGAACACACACACACCCAGAGCAGTGGGCAGCCATTTTTGCTGCGGCGCCCGGGGAGCAGTTGGGGGTTCGGTACCTTGCTCAAGGGCACCTCAGTCGTGGTATTGAAGGTGGAGAGAGCGCTGTACATTCAGTCCCCCCACCTACAATCCCTGCCAG